GCATTGATGCATACAAACAAGAGCAAAATGACCCATTCAGCTGTGAGATGGAGGCACAGGTGGGGGACGTAAACAGGGCTCGATTCCTCACATACTTCTCTAATTACTCCTAGACAATAAGCATCTTGTCAGCCAACTTCATCTGTGCTGTCCCATAACAGTCTTGCTGGACCAAAGAAATATCCATTTTGGGAAGGAGGGAACAGTACTCTGTCTTTAAAGGTCTCTGTGTTCTGCTACAACAATCAAGGCTTCCAGAGCACAATAATCTCGCGTCTTCACATTTCCACTCTCAAACACACCCCCACACCATGCGCATCAAACTCAACAGTAATTCTATTAACGCAGAGTGTGACTGAAGACTCACATTTTAAATACACAGGCAACACTAAAAACTGCTGAAACACTACAAACGGTACAGAAAAGCAGCTAGACTACATGCTTGTTTACATGCTGACCTGTTTGCACCTGGGTGATGCAGGCGAACAATGTGGGTCTTCCTGCTGTTTCTCATATATTTCATCACCACATGATTTTGGTATAATTCTTAATCTGGGTTGTGTGTGTTTTCAATCCAACAGGCACATGTTTAAGGTGAAGGTTAACGGAGAATAATGTTTCGTTAAAAGGTAAAGTTAAGGCAAAGTTAAGCGTTTCAGTCTTAAAAACATGAATGGCAGAAGGCGGTCTTAAGATGAAATCCAGCAGAAAAGGAATTAAAATTATAGACATCCAAAAACACTCAGTGTTTCATGCCATTTCACATTCTGTTCATCTCTATCAAAAACAGATCCAAATGGGTCTGTCAACAATTACAAAACCATAAAAGCAAAATATTCAATGCAGAACTATCAATCAACCAAAAGGAAACAACCAAATGAAAAATGCTTTTCGCACCCTGCCATTTTAGTAGTGTCCCCAAGGGAATTTTTTATGAAGCATCACATATTTTGTACGGGGACTAAAAATACCTTTATGAAAACATTCACAACTAATGCATGCGAATTACCGTAATTTAGCGCAGGGATTAAGGCTTGGCACACCAATTCAGAAAAAAAGCTTTTTAATAAGACAACAGGTTATGTGTACATTATTGTCAGCATATTTTAATGTGTGTTTTCACATATCTCATTCTTACCATCAGTTTAGTCACCAGTAGAGCAGTTTGCCATATGTGCAGTTTTTTTTTTTTGCTTTTTTCCACAATACTTGTTCTTTCTCAATATTGTTTTCCACAGTAATTATTTTGAGATGTTCATAATCTCACAAAAACATGCAAACCAGCATGAAAAAAACATTGCTAGGTGCTGCCCTTGGGACTCATCTAACTCTACAGGAAATCTACAGCTGGGCAACATCTCAGAACCGGGGTGATTGCCCATCCAGACTTGTGCGCGTGGACCACAGCACGTTAATGACACGCGATCTGGGCCACAGCACGTTAATGACACGCGATCTGGGCCACAGCTCGTTAATGACACGCGATCTGAGCCACAGCACGTTAATGACACGCGATCTGGGCCACAGCACGTTAATGACACGGACGCTGTTCATGCCGGACAGAGACTCCAATATATTTTGCAACAAATTAAATAGAAAATGAAAGGAGAATGAACCCAAAACCATACACATGAGTACATAAGCCCTTCGCTCTGAGTCAAATTCCACAGCTGGTTAGAAACTGCTATGATATGATGACAATAATTCTATGCACAGTGCAAACCTACAATTTCACAGGCAGCCAACATCTAGTTACTGTGTCTATATAAAGTATCTGGTCAGCAACCCCCCCGCCCCCCCCGGTGGTTCCATTTTTATATTATATGGATATGAACAGAGTCATGACTTATTGTCATTAGAATAAATGACTGTAAAGCACTAACTTCTTGCCCAACTCTCATGGGCAATTCAATCTTCTTTCTTTTTAACAGGTTATTTACAAGTTATGAAATGTCAAAGCTGACCCTATTAAGCTACTACATGAAAGCCTGTCATACGTATCTATATCATACATATACGACCAGACAATCTGCATACAACAGCATTCTGATATTTCACGTTTGTTTGAAAGGACCCATGTGAATAATTACAGGACCTTCAGAAAAGGAAGGTAGTGAGTAGAGGACGATGTAACTGGATGGCAGGAGGTTTCTCCTTTAGTCACCTCAGCACCAAGTCCCACAAATCAAAATATCCTCTCAGCGAGGAAACAGGATCTGAAGCTGGACCAGTGACCAGAGGCTTGTCTAGTCATCAGCTCAGTTCCAAAGGACTTTACTGAAAGGACTGAGGTAAGTGAACTTAGGCAATTAGGCAAACCTCAGGAACACTGAAATGAACACAAACATCCTCCATTTGAGCTAGAAAGTAAATAAGAGAAAACAAACTTGCCGTAACGTTTAGCTCCATTCAGGACTTACTTCCCAAAAACTTTTCAGCAAATCGAAATAAGATCTATAGAGGTTTCATCTAAAGGTCCAAGCAAATTGCACCTCAGTGATTTCAAAACTTGTTTTTACTACATAATTTTGTCCACATTTAACCTAAAGAACTGCTATGATACCTTCATTCATAAAACTGGAATAAAAAAATAAGCAAATGGATATTAAAATGTGAATTCAGAATCCTGTTCACTTCCCACACAAATGGAGACATAAAAGTTTATAAACCTCTATGTGACAAAACCCTGGCAGAAAAGGAAGAGCAAATGAAAAACCGGGAGTAAAATATTACTCCATATTCAGATCATCTAGGGGACTGATAATACTGTCAAATAAAATATTTTTTTTTAACTGAAATGAAACAAATCTGGAGAAATCACTGAAGCCTGGAAAAAACACAAAAATGGATCTTATTACTCTTTCCTGGAAAAAAACAAAACCACAGGACACTGGGGCACAAATTGAAATATCATACAGCCAGGATCGTAGTCAGGCTTTACAGTGTCCTGCCTTGATTTTAACTGGTCACTTGTTGGAGGTGAGCTACACAGACCTAGAAGGAGGAGGATGAAGATCGACAGAAGAGCACGTCATAAATAACCTCCCCGCCCCCCACCCGCTCAGGATACCGATATCAGGTAAGGATAATCAGTTTTAGCATCAACATAGATCTAATGCTTTTGTCCACAGTATAAATACATGCAAAAATAAAGATTGTGCAGATCTGAGTGTCATGAGCTACCAAGAGAGTCACAGTCTTGTAAGCTACCCAGCACACAGCCCATGACCCCAACCCCACATACAAGTATTTATAGACAATAGGTGGATGAACACAGCCAGTTTTTACTGTTATAGTATTTTTTGGTTTGTTCTCTGTTGCTATTTGTCTTTAAGATGCTGCAACATGTAAGTCTCCCCAGTGTGGGATCAATAGTCTTATTGTCTTAGTGCAAACAAAGCTTCAAGCTCCGTAGGCCGATGCCTACTGATGCCAACACTATGACTCTTTCCTTAGAACATGCCTACTTATAGTCTTCTTTGACTCATTTCTATTGGTTTTGACTTAACTCTCGTATTCATGTTTGGGGGCGGCACGGTGCCCCAGCGGGCACTGTTCCCTCACACCTCTGGGACCAGGGTTCGAGTCTCCACCCTGGCTCCCTGTGTGTGGAGTTTGCATGTTCTCCCCGTGCCATCATGGGGTTTCCTCTGGGTACTCTGGTTTCCCCCCACAGTCCAAAAGCATGCTGAGGTTGATTGGAGTTACCAAATTGCCCACTGGTGTGAATGGTGTGTGAGTGACTGGTGTGTGTGTGCCCTGTGATGGGTTGGTGCCCCACTCTGGGTAGTTCCCCTCCTTGCACCTGTAGGTTCCACACCCCCAATGGCCCTGAATAGGATAAGCGGTTACAGAAGATGGATGGATAGATATTCATGTTTGCTATATTTTCTCACGAGGAAAGCAGGACAGTGACTGGTAGCAAAAACCATACCTGTCAACAGAAGCAGAAACTCAAGACTTGATTAAGAACTGCTTATATCATACACGGTTCTATGAACGGAAACAAGAACCTTCATTGTCCAGAAATAATGGTAAAGAAAGATGCACTTCATTCCAAAAATATCTGTACTAGTTGGCAGAAAGGGGTGGATACCTGATGTACCATAAATCCAAGAATGTCAGGAAATGTTGAGCTCTGCGCACTGATTCCTACCGCTGTCAGCAAGGCGTCTCAGCCTGTCAGCTTCTCTCTCAAAGGCATCACTCATTCAGCGCTTGCATGCGTCACCGCATGGATCCGAGCGCTGCACTGTGTGTAACTCCCAAAAAACAAAGGAACTCGGTGTAACGGAAATGAGACAGTATAAAATAATTAGGCCTATATAATCTAACAAGTGAGGAAATGTGTAGCAAAGCTGCTATTGTGGACATAAATTACTGAAATGCTGTATTTAGTTTAAACGTCTAAAAATAAAGCAATAAACAACAATGGGGATAAAAATAGCGATGTTGTCAGCAGATGGGAGATCTAGTCTCTAAAAAAAACTTTAAATACTGTCCTCTAGTGTTTGTTATGCTACAATACTTTATGGTCTTTTACTGTGACTGACATACCATTAAAAATTAATTAATTAACAATTTCATAATTAAATTAAAACATCATCACAAAGTACTGCAAGAATAAATACAGAAATTCTATACAGATCTGCGAAAAACACACTGTAAAGAATATCAAGGACATGTTTATCGTACGGGATCGATTTGGATGGAGACCGTAAAAGTCACCTCAACACCAAATGGGTCATTAACTTTTAACTTAGCAGCAGAGAGGTTCAGCTATTTTTTCAGCTCTATACCGAAGGCCCTCTTGGTCCTCGTGACACTAAAGACGAGGTAATCGCAGGTCTAAATGCTTACAGAAAACCGCTCTCCAACTTCCCTGAGCATCGTGACTCAACACGAGCCCCTAATTAAAACCTCTCTTGCAGGAGGGAGGTGTTTATATAGGGGGCGGACTTTCAGCAGTGCCATGGGCAGGCTGGGTATAAAAATCCGAAAAAACATATCGAACCCCAGCAGTTCTTCCAATACATTCCCTTCCTAAGGATATACAGCAGCAGCAAGGACAGAATCCTGGATCCCGGATTTTTTTTTTTTTTTTTTTTTTTGAAATTTGGAGCTGAACAGCCAGCACTGGTATGTGTCACCTGTAAGGTTCTCGGGACCGAGTCCGCGGGATGCACACAGTGGCCCAGTTCACTAGAACCTGCTTAATGCTAGGCCAAAGTACCACACTGTCCAGCAAGCCAGTGGTACAGAGCCCTGGCACTGCAGCGGGTAAACAGACTGAGTGGTGGATTTAAGGTTCTTAAAAGCCAGGTTTGGACCATCACTTAGAGAGATACCCGAGCATGTTAGTGGCTCTGAAATGGGGTTTTCATACTGTTCCTGAAGAAATGTTGTGGCAAATGTCTAAAGAACAATGAGACTTTTCCAGCGAACGCTCACCAGCAGGGCTGTTTAGATGCGATGGACGCCTAATGGTTTGCTAACGTGTATCTTCTATACAACTCTCCCTTACAGGTTTAGCCTGAGAGGATGGACCTTCGGGTGATCAGCGTCGTTCTTCTGTCGCTGACCTTGGTGGAGGCAACTCCGGATAGATACCATGCCAGACAAATCGTCAAGGCGCCCTACCCAAAGAAGGGTCATGGTAAGTTCAAGGCATGGGCGACTCTTTGGAGGCCAGTGACCAGGACAGGGATTTACAACTGTACTCCATCCCAGAATTTACAGCAGATTCTCTGTTCAAGCAATGATTTGGAAAAAAAGGTCTCAGATATTAAATGAAATCCAACTGAAATGATTGGCTGATACAAGTCAAGTGCTCACACAACAATCTCCTGTTGAGCAGCTTTCGCAGTGTGTGCTCGTAGCCTTAACATGTCAGCCGATTTCCTTCCCAATTACATTTTAATGGCTTTCGCTTCAGGTTCTTCTAGTCAAAAAACACCAAGAATATGGAAACTTGCCATAAAAAAACACTGAACGTTATCTATCTCCATACTGCAGGTAAATCTGAAAAACTGCACCCTTAATTCTAAGCTGCTCTCAGATTAAAAATTTTCTAAGGCAGGCAAAATAAATCCTAAGTGGAAGGATGAATTGCAGTACTGCATATTTTAATATATTACTTTTGTGGAAAAAAATAAATAAAAGGGGAAATCCGAGTCTGAAACACCTGTACTATGAAGTCTGAATGTCCGTAAAGCTACCATATATAACATCCAGCCTGTTCAGAGACGCATTTAGCCTAGTTTTTTGACCAGCCTTAAGTTCCAGCAAGACCTTCCTTTCGACTGAACTTTATTCACTTCAGTATCCTGAAGTACATAATGAAGTATTCTGTTGTTCTGTTCAATGACTCGCTTGTATATACTTCTGTAATCGCTGGCTGGATATCCTTACCGGAACAAACAAGAGTCGTTGACAATGGCAAGAACACAGCGCACACACACGCACACACACGCACACACACGTTAAACCAAACATCGCAACTTCAAATAGTCATTAGCCGAGTCCACCAAGTGTAGCGTGGCAAACAAGGCAAGCCCGGCAAGTCTACTGTCGTGGTCTGTCGCAATGTGGGCGTGAGCCAGTCGGCTCTCTCATCCTCTGAAGGCTACGGACGTTCTGATAGATTAAGGCAGCGTGGCGACCGCTCGCACCGCGTAATGAGCACTTTCGCGGGCGGCCATCGCTTCCTCCGCGCCATGCTGCGCCCGTAACCTCGTCCTCACTGCCAAGACACTTTGTCCTGGCCGCAAACCGCCCCGTACTCCTTTATGCATGATGTAAGTGGTGATACAGAGAGGCGAAAAAATGCCAGGATGTAAACAGGCTTTTTCTCAATGTTCATCCATACTTCCAGAACAAATGTTAGCAGACTTGGCTAAACATAGCCAAACAGACCACTCTCTTCTTTTATATAACGGAAACCATCCTGAATTCTTAAACTTAAATCTAATCCAGAATCGCAAATTTTCTAAAAATGGTTAATATTAGTGATAGTTACATTTCACCTTTAAAGGGGTTAGGACTTGGACAGAGCATGCAGAGGTGTAGTTTTTAATTAACAAAAAAAAAAAAACTTACGGATGACACAATTTCAATTTTCCAGATGACTGCTGACATCCACAGCAGCCTCACTAATGATCCACAGAGTTCCCCTATAGCTAGTAAGGTAACACTAATGCTTACTCTGCTCTGGGTTACAATGTAAAACCTGATCTGTAGGTTACCAACAGACAGTCTGGAAGCTTCTTATTAGCAATTGTGGAAAGTAAAAACAATGACTTCCAGTTTGTTCTCCTACAAAAGGTCCTACAAAATACTGATGCTTGTAAACCAAGAAGCCCAACTCTTGGAAGTATCTCTTCCAAAACTTTAACGTCCGCCCTAAAGTCAAATAATTTATTTAAGGATCACATGTAGATATATATATATTCTTTTAAATAAAATATTATAAGTATATTCTAGCCATTCCATATTCAGTTAAATATTGACCTTCATAAGTTTTTGAGGACTGGTAAATAGATATCAAGCCCATCGAAGAATTAAAACTCAGGAAGCTGACTCCGTAATGCATGACCCTCACCCTGCGCTTTGGTCTGAAGCCACCTCATCTTCCTGACAGTGCTCATGACGTCTTATTCCCTTAGACCAGAGTTTCCTAACCTGGAGCTCGGGGACCCACAGACAGTCCGTGTTTTTAATCCCTCCCAACGCCAGAGTCACAAAGATGGATTGGGAATCACTGCCTTAGACCAGGGGTCTCCAACTCCGGTCCTGGAGAGCTACTATCCAGTCGGTTTTCAATCCTACCTGGCTTCTGATGAGCCACACCTGTTCTCAGGTAAATAGCAGGAGCAGGTGTGGCTCATCAGAAGCCAAGTGGGACAGAAAACCTACTGGATAGTAGCTCTCCAGGACCGGAGTCGGAGACCCCTGCCTTAGACGATGCCACTGCTCAGGAACTTTTCTTAGATATGAAAAACCTGAGGAAGTGTCTTAGTGCTCTGAGACAAGATCTGCACCGCTGATATCTATCCTTGCAAATTCCCTCATAGCTCCAGACAACTCTATTTGCTATTTGAATTTGCTTTTCTCTCACAGACGCGCCAAACCCATGACTCATCCACAATATCTCATTCCATCACCATAGCAAACATCAGTCAAGCACTTTGATTCCTTCTGTCTTAATTTGACATTTTTATTACTTAAGGTTCTGTGGAGAATTGGAAGGCATAGTTTAAGTAACAATTAAATGTGGTGTAATCAGCTACTTACTTTAAATCAATTGAATTAATAATGTTAAAACACATCCTACCACTTGGGCAATTTGTAGTTTAAACCACTTGTGAATATGTCATTGATAGAAAATAAGAAATTTTGTCATCTCACACTGATGAAGGCACTAAAATTTAAACAAAAACGTGTTGAGTGACAGATCGCTTTGTAGATTCCAGCTGGTCTGAAAGGCTCTGGGCAGTTTTATGACTTATCTGCCAATGCTAACCCATTAACTGGAGTCAACGTAAGTCCTCGACTAGTTTAAGTCATAAAAGATGATAAAGTTGATCTAAATAGTGACAATATTTCAGAGGGGGGTCCTGAATGAAGGCGATGAAACCAAACGGTAAATAGCATTCAACGCAGCTGAAAATGTGCTCATCTCTGCATGCATTTTTAAAAGCACCAGCAAATGCTGTCTCCTTTAAACATCTCAAATTAAACTTTTACAAAACAAAAAGAAGTCAATGATTGCATGCCCTTATATATCTTACCCAGAAACAGCTAAGAAAATAATCAGGGTAATAATTAAGGGCTAAGCAATCTGACGAATGGATCTGAAAATCTCCAGCAAAAGTCCATCAAATCTGAAAAAGTGGGTAATAGTGAGAAACTAGTGAAATATTACAAGACATCGTTCAACACCATCACAGGAATCTAGATTGTACTGTCATCAGTCGATTATTTACTACCAACAGTGCCTCATATAAAATGTGTTTAATGTGATATTCTAACGGTCTGGGTTTTCCTATCATTTCTCTCTGCATGCTTTTCTCTGTCTACAGCAGGGGTGGCCAATCTTATCTGCAAAGGGCCGGTGTGTATGCAGGTTTTTGGGATAACCTGTAGGTCAGCTGTTCAAACCCAGGTGTGAGGACTCCTCAGCCAATCAGTCCTCTAATTAGTAATCTAATTAGGGAGTTGCAGCAAAAACCCGCATACACACCGGCCCTTTGCGGATAAGATTGGCTACCACTGGTCTACAGATTTTCTCTAATCTGTAATTTATTTATTTCTGTTTAATTTGCTTTATACTTATTCCTGTAGCTGATTTAGAGTCCAGCATCATCAAAAACTCAATTACAATCGTTTCTTGATAGGAAAAAAAAAATCTTTTCTTCATAGTACAAATAAATATGCATGACACCTGCCTGCACCCCGCTCTAACACAGAGAATGACACTAACCACAAATACGTGCTGTTTTGAATTTCTAGTTATATAAATATATGTGATGCATTTTCAGTTGGTGATACAAATGAAAGTAGCCAAACATAAACTACATTCGACGCTAAAGCTGTAGGGCGCACCTTGGAAAAGAAGCACCTGCAGTTTCCGTGGCCTCCTTCCCCCTGATCTTGGCACAATGATGCCTTTGCCTAAACTGCTGCCGCTTTAAAAAAGTCAGCCAGCATCCTCATGCCTCGGACGCGCTAGCGGCACGGTGATTTACAACAGCGTATCCATGCCCCTTCGTAATGTGTGACAAATCTAGCCGTAATCTTTAGTATATAACTCATAATAAATATCTTTCACAGTGTTATTATAGGAAAGGTGATGGTTGTTATGATCTGCATGCTAATAAATGTCTTCTTTTTGTGCAGTGCAGGCACCAGGTGCTCCCGGACCCCCGGGGGCACCAGGCGAACCTGGGCCACCTGGACCATCCGGGCCTCCAGGCCAGAGCGGATACGGAAAGCCAGGCTCCCAGGGGTCCCCTGGACCACCAGGACCTGCAGGATTCTCCGCGGCTGGCAAACCAGGCACGCCAGGTGCCCCTGGGAAACCCGGAAGCAACGGCATGCCTGGGGAGAGGGGTACACCAGGCACACCTGGAGCACAGGGTCCTAGAGGCACACCTGGCCCTCCTGGGAGTCCCGGACCTGCAGGGCTTTCTTCTGTCGGCAAACCCGGGCCACAAGGGTTTCCCGGACCATCGGGGCTTAAAGGTGAGCCAGGCCTGAAGGGACACCCTGGAATTCCTGGTCTACCAGGCCCAAAAGGAGAGAAGGGATATGGGATTCCTGGAAGTTCAGGTCAGTCAGGTCCAGTGGGTCCTAGGGGTCCTTCTGGTCCACCAGGAATTCCTGGGGTAGGGAAATCAGGTCCAGCTGGAATACCCGGGGAGCCTGGGAAGTCAGGCCTTCCAGGGAGAGATGGGACTCCAGGACAAATGGGAAAACCAGGGATAAAGGGTCTTGATGGGGTCCCTGGCGTAGGGATTCCCGGAAAGCCAGGTCAGAATGGTGCTCCAGGTATGCCTGGCCCTGGAGGGGTTAAAGGCTCTCAGGGACCCCCCGGAATACCCGGAGCTCCTGGTTTACCAGGAATAGGAAAACCTGGAATTCCTGGACAGCCAGGACAGAGGGGGGTTTCAGGCACCTCTGGTACCACTGGCCAAAAAGGAGAGCCAGGGCCAATGGGGCACACTGGTTCACCTGGGGCTACTGGCTCTATGGGGCCAGCTGGTCCTCAGGGAGCAAGAGGATTACTGGGAGAGCCCGGGCTCCCGGGCCTGAAAGGAGACATCGGTCCAATGGGACCAGGCGGACCACAGGGATATAAGGGTGAGAAGGGAGTTCGAGGCTTAGACGGAAAATCAGGAATCCCAGGGGCACCAGGCCTAATGGGTCCAAAGGGACCGGCTGGAATACCAGGTTACAAAGGCGAAATAGGCATTCCAGGCTCATCTGGAAGCCCGGGTGGACCAGGGCCAGCAGGGGCAAAGGGAATTCCAGGGAGACCAGGAGAACCGGGACCAATAGGGGAAAATGGAATTCCAGGAGCCAGAGGGCCAATCGGACCCGTAGGTCCTCCAGGTGTACCTGGCCTTAAAGGTCACCCAGGTCCCCCTGGGTCCCCTGGCCCTTCAGGAATGACAACTAAGGGAATAGCTGGTCCTCAGGGGCCCCCTGGTTTTCCCGGGGCCAAGGGACATGACGGTCTTCCGGGCCCAGTGGGACCTCCTGGCCCACCTGGTCCCCCTGGTGAGATTGTATATGACAAAGGCATGCCCATTAAATCGCATGAGATGATGGGGCCTGCCCTGGTCAAGATCCCAATGTCCGCCTTCACTGCAGTGTTGACTAAGGCGTACCCTCCAGCTGGAGAACCTATCCGCTTTGACCAAGTCGTATATAACGCTGAGCACCACTACGACCCCCACAGCGGAATTTTCACCTGCCACATCCCCGGCATTTACTACTTCACCTATCACTTGCATGTTAATGGGGCCAATGCACTAGTGGGACTCTACCAAAACAGCCAGCCCGTCACATTCACTTACGATGAATATAACAATGGCTTTCTGGACCAGATGACCGGCAGCGCCGTCCTTCAGTTGCATGAGCACGACACCGTTTTTGTTCAGGCACCTGACGAGGAGGCTAATGGAATCTTTGGTGCCGAAAACGTCCACTGCTCTTTCTCCGGCTTCCTCATAGCTTCTACGTGATTCGGAGCGTCGAAACGAGCGCACAACGTAAACTCCAGAACGACTGAAAGAAACACCGTCCCCCGTTTATCTCTCAGCCTTCTTTCCGAAACAAAACATAAGTAATAATTAAAGCAAGTTTTACTTTCTGAATATTTCAGAAATGGATGGTGATAGAAAGAAAATGAATTCCCTACAAGAGATCAGTAGATAAAGTAGCAAAATTTATAAGGGAAAGGCGACAACTGATCGGACCGAGAAATTTTCTGATTTTTTTACATTTTATTATTTTGTTTTTTTACGTATTGTTTCACTTCTTGCTGTACTTGCATTAATATTGAGTTAAGAGTAATTCAAAGAATAAACACACAGTGCTTGCTTATAAAATAACAGCGGTTGATTCTTGTTTTTCAGTGTCTGTCTGAATAGTGTAATGTTTGTCATATACATTGAATAATTCTTGAAAAAGAAAACAATATTGTATTGGATTTGTCACATTTATATATGAAATATAGAAATAGATAATCCGGTCAGGAAAAGTCCAATAGATGTTTTGTCAGTAACTTTGTTATATTGCTCAAGATGCATAATGCTATGTACATCTTATTGACCAAAATAATAAAAAAATCTTACTCCCAACTAATTGTGTTTCTCTCTTGATGGTACTAGTGTACGGTATCTTTTTTATAGAAAAACAAATACCATTAAATTAAATTATTGGCACAGTGGCTGCACATTTAGAAAACATATAATGGCAACAGAAAATACAGATTTTTTTCCTTTTGATAAAATACCATAATAGGTAACAATCAATATAGAAGATAACTGCAATATATCCATCCATTTTAATGTCTGATACATTGTTCATTTAACATAATTTTTTGACAAAATTATTTTATCAGGCAATCAAAACTTGCTGCTATACGTAATCTATTCATACGCAAAAAAAAAACACACACACAGGCACACAGACTTACCTTTAAAAGCTGAAGTATTATAATTATGATCTATGGCAGCGACAATGTCTTTCCAGAAATCTGCTGTGACCTCATTCCCACGCTGTTAACAGTTGAGCAAGAAACGGAATACACGATTAACCATAAAACGCTAACTTCAGAGTTATGTTATGTGCTATGCAAATGTACAGAAGAACAGGTATTTATAGGTATGTGGGTATTTGTCTGGTTAACATAAGCAAAGACAGGGGATTCATTTGTAACATTTGCAAACTTTATCAGCATCCAGCAGCCTTACCTTGTGTAACATATCTACCACCCTTGCACACAGAAGTGCCCCAGGAAGATCAAAGTAGTTGTCATAAAAATAGTATTTTGCTGTGGAATTGTACAAATAGAAAAAAAACATAAATCAAACACACATGACCATAAAATATCGCTCTAGTGTTTCCAGTAGTGTTATAGAATGCTACTGATCATCCCAGTTTTCCTTACAAAAAAAACAAAATTACTACTTTCAATGACCTTAAAGTTAAACATATAATTACAAACATCATATAACAAATATACAGTAGTATGTTGTAGAAGTATATTATAGGATATCCGTATGATCCTTATGTGAATGAGTCTTCTTGTTCTTATAAATGACGTTTTATGAACACAAATGTAGTATTAAGCTATTACTTGTTAATTAACCACAAACTAAATGTCAGTTACAAATCCCATCAAGTGTTACCAAAATATTAAATCTAAACATTAAAAATGTCAACTAGGAAAGAAATCTTGAAAAGCATGAATGACGTATGAATGACGCATGAATGACGTATGATGTCATATGTGATTAGATGCTGTCCACAGGGAACCCAGTGAGGTGGTCACACACATACCTGATCTGGTGTACGAGGTATTCAGGCTGTCAAAATGCTTCCACTCTCTCTTGGGACCATAATGCTTTATAATCTCTTCAGTGCTTAAGCAAGTTGTCCCATGTGATGCCCTACAAGGGAATAGAAAGCATAACTGTCTACTGATTACAACAAAAAAATAAGTGTACAGAATGTCACTAAATGTAAATCGAGTGATAGATTACTAAATAAAAGCTATCATAAATTATTCGCCCATAACTATACTTTAACACTTGACACGCACCCAAGCTAACAATGCAGGCTGTCTACACCGACATCAGACATTCAGCTGACCACACGGAGAGGCTGGCACATCCTGACACCTCATTTTAATAATTTCTGGTGACTTGACTGCAAAGTCGACAATTTGTGTTCATTCAAGTAATATATATATTTTTAATGAATCTTTTACTTGCCATTTGCGAAAGTACAGGTACATCGGAATTCTTTTTTCCATTAACCCCATCTTGCTTTCCATAGCTTGGGGGTCACAGCACAGGATCACCCAATGTGCGGTGTCCCTGAAGCTGGGGGTTAAGGGCCTTGCTCAAGGACCCACGGACATGTGACTATTCCGCTGAGGACAAGGCTCAATCTGGCAACCTTATGGTTACAGACAAGCAGAGAGACTGAGCCCAGAGCCACTCAATGTCTCAGGTCAGCCACACTAGCAACAGGATACTTAAAGGCAGTCGGCATCTACCTCGCTCCTTTAATTGGCTACATAAACGGGCACAACCAAAACCAGAGCAGCAGCTGCTCTCCTGCCATGATATGGTCCACCTTAACAGTTCTCATTTCTTGTGAAGTTGTGAATATTTTACATTTTAGGGGGGATAGCCCGGGCTTGGGTGGTAATATGGTATATCATGTTATATTGGGTATTTTGGGTAAACCATTGTACTTTTAAATCATCTGGCAAAATTAATCATGGAAACCCCCCCACTAGGTGTATTTTACTGCTGAGATTTCAAAATACAGTCTTACATCAAGTTACACCTGATCGAGTCACGTCAGATCCCAATTATCTCCGAGGACCATAGTATCACCGATCGAGAGACACCGGAAAGCACCTCATTGCAGTGTTTCCTAACCTTTTTTCTAGCAGGACACACCTTCCATAAGGCTGGCTTAGTGTAATAGGTGCAGAATGGGCAGAGCTGCCAGCCGTATAATGACCCACTGTCCATATCTAACTCGTAATACAGCATGCATACAATAGTGCAGTGTCTCCCAAACCAGTCCTCTGGGCACACTGGACGGATCCACATTCTTGTTTTATCCCAGTTCCCATAACACCTGATCCAAGCAATCAGGAACTCTAAATACCTTACAGGTGTGCAGGGAACTGGGATAAAACAAAAAATGTGGATCGGTCCAGTGTGCAGTGTGCCCAGAGGACTGGTTTGGGAAACACTGCAGTAATGTCTACAAGATGGACAGCTACAATATCAAGATTCGTCCAAACTGTACCAAACGTGACGCAAGCCTGTAACCTGAATAGGGCTGCTTTTGAAAATGCCATCAAAAATATCGTATATTGTGGTATAATGTTTGGATGGTATGATGGAAAAAGTCTAGGGCAGTCCAAGCCTAGGGTAGCCCTGAGAGACATGTCCCTAGCAAAATTCTGGGAGTACCATGTGTGTTTAGTGGGCAGGGCGCTCAGGCTGACTTGGTCCCTACCAATGCAGAATCCAAACCTGCGCCCTTGCCTGAATTACCTGCAGCATAAAAGGGTAAGTGAACAGTATATATCCGGTACCGGGTCCACGTAAAAGTTCAGGGGAAACACTAGGTTATATTTTAGAGCAGAAGAGAGCTTACCACAAAAACTGCTTTGCTGCTATACTGAAACAAATGCATACTAATTCGTTTTTATTCATCCCTCTTCTATACTCAAGGGATTATATGTAACAGCTGGGAAGCGAGAACAGCTGTATGCGGTCAAAGTGCACATCTGAGTCCCACGCAAACATGCACCGATCGTGGACAAACACATACTGCATGACTGGCCAGGCCCCGGAGGACAACATTCATGGAGAAATGCTAGAATTCTCATTTTTATTCTTTAATTCCCCTAACTTCTATACGATTCATCTTTAAAATGATGGCTTACGCTACATTTGCATTAGAATTTTAGAACTAGGTGATCAGTGGTCATTGCTGACACAGCACAACACACAGTGCACAACAACGAAATGTGTCCTCTGCATTTATCCCATATGTGACGTCGTGACATAGCAGGAGGCAGCTAACTCAGCGCCCGGGGAGCAGTGCTTGGATGACGTTAGACAAAGGTCAGACAGGAGAACAGAATTACATCTCTATTACAATTCTTTTTCATACTAATGTCCATCTATTCTATGTCTATTTTTTCACATCTTTGTACTGATTTCTTTAAAGAATGAAAAGTCATAATTGATCTCAATCAAAGCTCAAATCATTCAAAAAAAAAAAAAAGCACATCAATGAGCAATTAACATGTACCAGACACGTGAAACACAGTACAAACACAGACATGTCATTTTGGGCATATAATCCATTTACACATTCTTTTTTAGTGTAACATGCATGAGCTTTGGGCTGTTCAGAAAATGTAATTATTTGTGTAATTATACACAAATAAGTCATAAACCCCCGACCCCTTTTTGGCGAGAACATGTGACCCTGATCTGGCACATCGAAGAGGTGGACTAGAACCTTATCTTGAATAATTAAGCTGCAGCCGGTAATTAGCTTTAAAGCTATGACTATGATATTCTATCTCTTCTACTGATCATGCATAAATGTCGGGAATCAGTAGGAAAAGCTGGGATGTGGCTAAATGTGCAGAAAAAAAGGTGCGTGATCTTAAGTTCCAGCGATATTCGGCTGATCGATATCAGCAAGACGTACACACACGTAAGGCCTAAGCGAGATATTCATCAGGCAGCGGCAATAGGAGAAGCGGATTCCTGCTGGGATGCCATTCCAGAGAATGAGGCATTAAAGTCATCCTCTCCAACCATCAATAGCATCGTCAGCCTTTGGTCTATTACTACATCAAAAACAGGTCTGCCTGGTTTTACTGTAACCTGGAACACAGCATCTTTGTTACAGTAATTAGCACGCGGATTGCATGGAATTCACTACTGCTACCCATGACCGAGCAAAGTATCTGATTTTCCCCAGTGATAATAAGTCATCGCCGCTTTGAGACCAATCAAGAACTGCAGAGGTTACAACATGTTTACCAGGGTGTAATAAAAAGAGGGCACTCATTCATTTGACTTCATCTTTATTATTTCCACTCAAATGTTCCAATTTTGCTGCAAAACCACAGAGACACAAACAGAAAACGCAGCTTTCCTACTATATAGGGTTTTCTTATTTAGCCCCGATGTAGGGCCTCTACCACAAAGCCGGATTTCTAGCTTAACCGGATATATTGTCGGATTTAAGGTACCCCATTTTAAATGGACTTTACCTTCGTTCATGTACATTTAGCCCCGACTACCTTAAATCCAACAAGTTATCTGGCTAAGCAAGAAATCCTGCTCCCTGATTCAGGACCCCTGTTTGAAATAACTACACCTTCCTCAGAAGCAGCAAACATGCAGATAAGCACTGAATCCCTCTCCAAACAGCTGGGGCAGTGACATGACTCACTTTCATTACTATGTACATCTGGCTTAGTTCCTGAAAGCAAAATGTTTGTTAGTTCAAACAAGACACTGTAAAATATATTTTTTTATTATTTTCTGGAAGTACCTTAAAACGGTTCCATCTTCAGCCAGCTTAATCAAATTTCCGTCTTCCAGGTCCACTACCAAACCCTTGAAACTGCGCAAAGTAAAAACATTTCTTTAATAACCAACAATTATGCTTCTGCAAACTGATACCGGCAAAACTAGTCTTAAATCCATTTAACCAAGACAAATTCCTTCTCCCCAGGTCAGGATGTGACACCCTGCCTTCCCACCCAGGCAATTATAAAAGCACACATGCTCATCAGACACAGGGTGACCTACATTTTATACTTCATGCAGTTTTAAAAATATATTAAAAATATTTCAAATATTTCACTTGACTTACTTAATACACTAACAGCTTTATTTTTAATTACCAGCAGTGCTACTTGCTGCTACGCAAATATTACGCTTTGTCATCAAGCAAATGCTTCTCTGCAGTGTTACTCATTTGGAGCTCTGCTCCTTACACTGGTACAATCTGGTAAACAGTTTACTTAAGGATACTGCAGCATTACAGTTATAATCTGCTGCTTCATGACAAGTGTGCAAGCATGAGTCAGAGAATACCGTAATACCTAATTACTTACTGTCCACCAAAGTTTTGTTCTAGCTAATAATTCCTAATATTTTTTTGATTACTTCCTGTGTTAGGGCTTGGCATGCTGTATTACACCGTGTAGCGTTTATATTAATGAAAGCAATCCAGAACACAGGCTTGTTCTGCTTTGAGAACTATCTCAGTTCAAATAAGTCAAGATCCATTTCTCCCTGTATTCCGGACAAACTCACCAGAAATCCCATGTTGCAGGGGTCAGGGTCAGCAGGTCCCTGTCGTAGCCCTTATGCTCCACCAGGTACCGGGCGAAACTGTCGTAGATGAGCTGCGGGTGACCAGGTCATCGTGTCAGGACCGGGATCAATGCAGAGTTGAGTTTTTGTTAAAAGCTGCCGTTTTACACGGGTACCACATTACAAAACAGCTGGTCATCGGAGTCCAGGTGATTCGATCACCATGAATAGACGGCTAGTGCAGTGGTGCTTTTGACTTCAGTAACTTGTGAGCAGTCCTCTCAGTCAAGAAACATTTCGCAAATATAGTATCTCGCGAATACAATTTCCCTACCATTCGTTTAATTAGTATTAAGTACAGTAGGTGTTATGCAACATACGTTTTAGGTATTCAGCAATGACATAATATAATGGCATTAAGGTCCTTTTAAAGAAAATGAGGCAAACGTATTTCCCACTGTGGAGATGCTAAATATCAGATAAGAGCGAAGGCATCACGTCGCTTCGGAGCTCGTGCGTATGAACGAGCACGTTAAGTCGCGCGCTTTATACTCCAGCGGTTTATGTAACTACTTGCCCAGAATAACACAAGCAAAGCACGTTATTATCATTACACCGGGAAGACGACACTGTAATCGCTCGGTCGTCGGCTCTTCAACAAAATACCGTCAGTAGATAATAGGTGTTATTAATGAATGGAGTGCATAAGAGACCTATCTGTATGTACTACTGGTAACGCGTACAGTACAAGCGCAGAATGACCCTGGATGGTGGACTGCAGGTATCTTGTTTATTAGAATAACGTCTACACATGTTGAACCAGTCTTCTGTTTTTCAGTATCGATTCAATGCATTAAAAATTAATGAACTGCATTTATTAATATAACTCACCTTAGAGGTTTCCTTTAGATGGTAGCGACAGAGAGTGTGGTCCAAATCAAAACCAATAACATCACACTCTGACAGGCAGAAATATTCGCTCATCGTGTAGGGTATGAAGCCAAAATAACAGTGAAAACAGCTTATTATGCGTTTCAATTTGAGCGACAGGAAGGCTTGTATCTGGCAATGTCACTGAGACGGTAATATTCAGTATCTATCCAAAGCCTCCAATACATTCGTCCCAATAGCAACACGTGGGGTGGCTCTACACAAAACCTGCCTGCCAGCGCTACATTCAATGGGCGTCCTTAAGCTTGGCCCCAAATTAACAAACCGACAGCTCTCAAGCACACTGGCAGACCGGGCCTTGCAGTAAGACCAATACGAATGATTAGCGGACACCTTTCGATTAATAGCGTTAAAGGTTTTCCGGACAATAGCCAGAATGACGACAGAATGGTAGAAGCTGTATGGGGAAGTTCCGGGTGACATTACCGTAATACATAACTAAAACGCGCACGTTAAACTCTCACCTGCCTCCGTGCTGAGATTACATGCACGTTATACGGCATAAGCACAAAATAATGTGTTTCGAAGGCGGAACATTTCCTTATCCAGTATATTGTGATTTTAATTAATTACATAGGCGCCTTTACGTTAAAGGTGTCTAATTACACAACTGTATTTGTCCATCTATCCATCATGTTGCATCTTAATCTGGTTGTGGCCCCAAGCTGTCATTATACATAACGTTTTTTCATTATTATTTATATATCGGAATTTATTTGAATAAATAATTTATTTTTGATTATTTCATATAGATTTTTTACCAATAATCTACTAAGCGGGGGAAAGAAGTCATGTTAGATGGCTCATGTCTTCAATCTTCAGAAGTAGAGAAGCAAATGTATGGTGCATATCAATAGGCAAGGGGGGAGGGGGGTATTTCTGGGCCCATTCAAAAAGTTACTCCCCCGGCCCCTAATGTAGTGACCATATGTGGCCAACAGGGGGACCCATGCAAATGTGTGGGTTGAGTGTGGTAAACACTGCCAGTGTCAATAGGAGACTGCAGCAAAGACTTCTGGCACCTTTGTTACAGTATAAGACGAGTAACTACATTCATCTCATAGTGAAGCATTTCAAGGTTGACGAGATGACATTGGTTCCATTTAACAAGGTACAAATGGTCACTGAATGATTTTATGTGCATGGAAAAATATAAGCCTTATGACTGGACCAGACACCAGATTTCAACACAAATAAGGCTTTATGACAGATTCTGTAGTGGCAGCTTCAGGACACGGTGCACAAAAGGCTGGAATACCTGGAACAGGAACCAAGAGCCAGAAAATGGGAAGCAGGGCTGAAACACAATCCAGAGTAATCACGGAAAACTTAAGATGAAAACACCATTTGCCCAGCACACCAGCTGCAGAATGCTGTCTAATCAGGACCATGCGTAACCATAACCAAAGTCCAACAAAATAGACACTAGACTATAATACAGCTCTGAGCTCTACACTTAACAATGATTAAACAGTGAGCAATTCTCACTACTCAGTTTGGATAAGACACAGAGCTAATTACCACTGGCTCAGATCACGCATACCAGGATTAATCACCAGATTATCAAATGAAGGAAGGTGTCACAATATTTTTTACTGGATGGAAACAATGTATCATATTTATGGCTTCAGCATTTTATTATATACTCACTTATCTAGTACACGCTGAAGTCTATTAATGATACAACTTGAACCGCATACCAGGGTACTCTATTATTAAATCAATTAAATTGATATGTCCATCCCTGTCTATCCATCCAAATGTTCCCACAATGTGATACAAAAACCTGCTGTTTTAATGTCATGGGGACCATTTTTCCCCACAAGGGGAAATTCATTTTTGTATAAGTCTATGATCAAAAAACTTAAGTCTTGTATTTTGTTTTGTTAGTTATGGCTAAGGTTAGTTCTGGTTTTGGGTTAAAGTTGCCATATTTGGGATTAGGGTGATGCCCCTAGAAATGAATGGAAAGTCCCCACAAAGATATAGATACCTAATCTGTGTGTGTGTGTGTGTGTGTGTGTGTGTGTGCATGAGCGGGTATACCTTACCTTATGGGGACACAATGTCCCCAGAACGTGATGAATACCCGTTTTTTTCCCTTATGGGGACCAGTTTCCTGGTTTCCCCATAAGGGAAAACTCAATTTAATAAAAATCAGTGACTGCAATGAAAAAACAAAAAAATGCCAAAACTCTTGTATTTTGCTTGGTTACTTATGGTTATGGTTAGGGCAGGGTAGGGGTAAAGGTTGCCATAGTTAGCATTAGCATTTTTCCAATAGAAATGAATGAGCGGTCCCTATAAAGATATGTTTACCTGACTGCACGTGTGTGTGTGTGTGTGTGTGGGTGGGTGTGTGTGTTTGTGTACCAAGTGGGTGGGAGCTTTTGTTGGTGCGGCAGAGAAGACGAAGCTAACCACTGAGGCACCCAGGTGGTATGTAATGGCTAGCAGTCACCCCCCACGACAAAATGTTACCTTGAGCCATATGAAGCACTGGGCCCCCTGAATCTGCCAGGGTGTCCGTGCCACTCTGACACCCCCCCCCCCTCCCCGCCTCGTGTGACCAAGTTACAAGCTCTCTGTCTTTCTAGAGACTAAACCAATGAATCCAGGTTGGTGTAGCTGGTTCTCTGCTCAATGTCCTGATATATCTGAGGGCTGGTTAAATGCATTCACACTCCATTAGGGTTATTTTTTTATAAGAGTACCGTGTCACATCCGGTACAACTGAACGCCTATGAAGAGGTGATCTTCAGTGCATGTTTTACCTGGGTAGTACAACTGTACTAAAATACTTTTTGATGTGAATTTCTTTGTGCTGTTTATGTTACATGTGAAAGGTAAACTCTGTATCTATCTCTAGTGTTAGGAGTATGATACTGGGCACAGAACCAGGAGGAAACACTCATTTATTTATTTTTCTTCAGGAATACGGGGCATGAGGTCAGGTGTAGAATAATCACCATACCAAAACAAATGGGAGCTAAAAAGGCAGAAAATATAACAGCGATGTATTTACACAGGGAGCAGGATCAGGACGTTTGGGCGTCTTTAGATAGGTGTGGATATGTGGGTCATGCAGGGAAGAAACTACAAGTGGAGCAATTTTATCAGCATCACATGGCTTCAGAGACGGGCTGTGTCCCTCCCTCCCATTGGTGAATTAGTTTGGGTAACATAAAATTGTAATTTAATGGTTTGCTTAATGGTTCACTGTATACCTAAAATTTATGAAAAGTCACTTTCAACTACATGCTTAACATATTTATACAAAACGGAAGTCTTGTTTTGCAATATGAATTGTGAACTTCCATAGGACTTACCCAATGTGTGGTCACAGTGAGTCTAAACCCTATACCAGGAAGAACAGAGGACAGGGACGCCCCGGATGGGACACACAGGGGACTGGGACGCCCCGGATGGGACGCACAGGGGACTGGGACGCCCCGGAAGGGGCGCACAGGAGACAGGGACGCCCCGGATGGGACGCACAGGGGACAGGGACGCCCCGGTTGGGACGCACAGGGGACAGGGAGGCCCCGGATGGGACGCACAGGGGACAGGGAGGCCCCGGATGGGACGCACAGGGGACAGAGACGCCCCGGATGGGACGTACAGGGGACAGAGACGCCCCGGATGGGACGCACAGGGGACTGGGACGCCCCGGATGGGACGCACAGGGGACAGGGACGCCCCGGATGGGACGCACAGAACATGCACTCATCACAAAGCAGCAAACCATGATGGTTTGAGGAGAACATGAGGGGAACATGCAAACGTCACAGACACACACACGACAGAAGTGAAATACACCCCCAAACCTCATTTTTACTTGCAATGCTTACTGATAAAAAAATAAACTTTTTTTTATAAACTACCACCAACAATGTATGTGTTTAGCTTACCAGCACACTGGGGATCTGCTTTCGAAATCTTATTTATCTAATACGTCAGATATGGAACGCGGTAATACAAATACATCCCAGCAGCTTTAAAGGTAAATGATCAATCTGCCGTCGCCAATTTAATGGTTCAATAAATCAGACTTACCGTAAATGTCAATCTAGGTACGGGACGTGTCTCTTTAATGATTCTGCTTCATAGAATACAATAAACAGCGCATAGAAAAACAACCCCGTAACTAAATGGAATGGGACCTTTTAAAAAGGAACTGGACAGACTGGTTTTCCGCAGGAGGTACCGTAACAGTTAACAGGCAGTCGCTCAGCTGGTTGTACTTGCAGCGGGTTGTTCTGCAGGTGAATGAATTCAGGAAAACCAGGAAACAGTCAAAGTTAAATGCTGGGCATATATGCGGGCAATCAGTTCACTGAGCATAGGCCAGGGTTAAGGTGCTAAGTTGCTTTCGAAACACTAGTATCACATAGTCACTGCAGCTGGGACAAGATGGATGAAAACTTAAGCTTTAGTGATACTTAAGGCAGTCGGTGCGCACCTTCGGGGTCACGTCATGTGACCCGAATTATCGTGTTCAGATGAGAAAATCCAGGTTTATTAGTTAGTGATGGAAATGCCCCAGTACTGCTTGATCTGCATCCGTAGAGTTTGCCCGTGTTTGATCAAACCTCCGCCGGACGCCGAACCGCCTGCTCAGAAGATCGAACCGTCTGCGCCGATCCTCACCCGGCCGCTGCCCCCCTTGCCGGAGGGTCACCGCTACTATGTCGCCCTGTACGACTATACAGCCCGCACGGACGACGACCTGAGCGTCAGGGCCGGCGACAAGCTGGAAGTGCTTTATAAATACACGGAGGAGTGGTGGATCGTCAAGGCGCTGACCGGCATATCGGCCAATAAGCAGGGATACGTGCCGTCAAATTACGTGGCGCCCCAAGAAAGTCTAGATGCGGAGCCGTAAGTGCAGCGCGCTGTCCCATCTTTCATACCTGTTATCCACCTACACTGTTTATTTCTCACTGATAAATCCAGGAATGTGCTATGTACATCCCAATTACATGTAATGCAACGAGATGTTTAAATCACACATGATTCGTTATTTATACGCATGTATAATATAATTTATATTTATTAATTTCTGTGAAAATGTGGGAAAACCATTTGGTCTTTAAGTTTCATATGCAGCTAATATGTGTAAAACATTGGCATACAGTATGGGACATATACGAAAACTACGAAAATTTTGTAGTATATTTTGTAGTATAAAGTATATATACAATGGGAAGCTGTAATTATTAGATAAAACATACAAACGTCGCGTAGAAACATGCAACTGCTGTACACCTTTTATCGAAAACTTATTCTATAATTAACATACCGTACTAAAATTTTAAAATGAAGTATAATCTCTGTTGTAGCAGGAAACGGCCTGTTCACCTCCTTTCAGCGAACACAGTTCACAACATCAACTCCAGCTAAACTGGTGTAACCACACGCACTAGAACAGTCATTGGGATTTTTTTTTTTTAAAAAGATTAAGTGGCACGTACTGTAGTATCTGTGATTTCGGAAAAAGTGTTTATAAATGTTTGTGGCTGATTCATTCACAAAGTGAAGGAAATGAATGCTTTGCCTCACGCATTCATTTCTGATTCTGATACAGCAATTCCTGCTGGTAATGAAATTAAGAACACTATACCTTGAAATGCTCTGTCTTTGGTTTTTATTATTGAGACACATATAAAGAGCACTGACACATAATTACAGGCTTATTCTGGCTGTTTTTGGCACAGCTCTGGTTATTGGTTATCAGTTTCAGGTAATCGCTTTGCTTCGGTTTAAAGGTTGCTTCTGACGGAATTGCTTTATGATGGGCGCAGTCAGAGGTTTGAGGTAAAAGCAAAGCAGAGCCTCGTGTACCGCTGACATTTGAGATACTATTTAAATGATCACAATCAAAATACAAGGAAGGTACACCACTGTAAAAAGGAATACAGCCGTAAACATTTAGCAGATAGCTTGTCAAATTGGCTGTTTTGTGGTTCTGTGATCAGAACGGTACATTCTTATACAGTAAAATGTAACATTTTAAATGTTGTCATTAAGTTTTATAAGTTTTAGTGCTATGGCGTCAGTCGAACATCCCAAGTCTTTCAGCATATTCAACACTTTTTGGTAGGATTTTTTAAACTCCGATTTCTGTTACACGCCATTTTAGAAACTTTTTTTGCCCATCAGAATAACTTAAGTTATTTGGTCTATTCCAGGACAGTGCCAAACTAAAACAGGAATGCTCTGAATCCTGAGCAGGACTGCACTGACACGCCCAGCGCGGTTCATGCTAACCTGCCTGTGATTCTAGGTGGTATTTTCCGGATACCAAGAGGGCAGATTCAGAGAAGTTGCTACTGTGTGACGGAAATGTTCATGGCGCCTTCCTTATCAGAGAAAGTGAAAGTCATAGAGGAGAGCTGTCACTCTCAGGTAAGCGGGAGGGAACAGGGGAGGAGAGTGAAGGAGGGCTGCAGCCAGCCCACTCCAACACAACACCACACTTACATCATTAGTAATTAATCTGCCCTTAGGCTCCAGGCTACGGCACACCCTGGGGTATTAAGGGTTACTGCTGCAGTGGCCTGATGACCAGCCCTCTTGCCGCACATCTCAAGGACCAGGGTTCGAGTCTCCACACAGGCTCCGTGTGTGGCATTTACATGCTCCTCCCATGTCGTGGTGGGGTTTCCTCAAAGTTCTTTGGATTTCCCCCTCCCATAGTCCAAAAGCACGCTAGGGTGAATTGCAGTTGCCGGATTTTCCCCAGGTGTGTGTGCTTTGTGATAGCTTGGTGCCCCATCCTGGGTTGTTCCCTGCCTTGTGCCCTGTGATGGCTTGGTGCCCCATCCTGGGTTATTCCCTGCCTTGTGCCCTGTGATGGGTTGGCACCCCATCCTGGGTTGTTCCCTGCCTTGTGCCCTGTGATGGGTTGGCACCCCATCCTGGGTTGTTTCCTGCCTTGTGCCCTGTGATGGATTGGCGCCCCATCCTGGGTTGTTTCCTGCCTTGTGCCCGTAGCCTCCTGGATAGACTTCAGACCCCTGAGATCCTGCATAGAACAAGCCAACATAGAAGATGGATGGCGGTTAATGCTGCACTCGTCTGATTGCTCTACATAACACTTAAACATTGTTATTTTAATATTGTTATCAGATTTGTTATGTTCATTTTCATTTCCATATAAATGGAAAACCCAATCGTAGCCCCTGTTAGTGGTAAAGCGGCACTTGGAGCTTAGCAGTCTTGGGATAACCCAGTCTTGGGATAACCCAGTCTTGGGATAAGCCATTGAGTTCAGTGAGTAAATAGCCCTTTGTGGTGTCAGTGAACACCTGCGTGTGGCTGAGGTGGATGGAGCCCGACACGGACAGTGAGAATGGATTTATGAGTCACGATATTTTTTAAACAGCCATAGACTCAGATGATATAAAACCCCGGCGGGTGAAACTGACCCTCGTCTTTATAAAGAACAGCTTGGGGCATGTGGCATGTGGCTTTCTGAACTTCCTCCTCTCAGCCAAAAACTCCTCTGTTGATAGTATCTGGGTCAAAACATAATGGGTTTTCCCATTTTCTTTTCTTGCTGAGGAGAACGTGGGAGAGAGAAGAGATGCATGTTGTGATTTCAGCTGCAGTTGAAATGTCTGGATTGCTCACCCTATACATCTTTATCCATCCGCCTTCAGTATCGTCTTGACTAGTACAAGGTTTCAGTGACCTGTTCCAGGAAGCACAGGGCAGGGAAACACCACAGACGAAATACCATCAAAGGAGACACACAAGCAGAATATTCTTTGTGCACCTTAGGAGAGATCCTGGGGGAATCCCCTACAGCGATGGTGCTACTGACTGAGCCACTGTACGCTTTTCTACGTCCCGTTAACTCTGTGGGTATCACCTCACAGACCTGAATAGAAGCCAGTGCTCATTTTCTTTCTGTTCCAGTGCTAGATGATGGAAAAGTGAAGCACTACAAGGTGCTAAGAAACCTTGATGGAGAATACTGCATAGCGAAGAACCACACCTTTAGAACTCTTAAGGATCTCGTTAAGCACTACTCCAGAGATGCCGGTGGCCTTTGTGTGCGTCTCACCACGCCATGTAAGAAGGTAAGGAGACCGCTGCTTTTATGTTTCTCTGCCCCAAGGGCATGAAGTACTATGAGGGCATGAAAAATTAGTCTTGTGATTTTCCCTGAATGATTCTGATTGTTCCGTTTTGTTCCAAATATACATGTTATCATGTGGTTCAAGGGCAGTAAATAGGAGTCCTTTTAGTGGGGTGACAGAAAACTGCCAACTTTGGTCAGCTGGCTGGCCTGAGGTTTTCAATGCGAGACAGTTCTGCACACGCATTTACATGTATGTATCAGTTTTATTACCTTGAAAATAGTCTGAAGGGTTTGAAAACTACCCCAACATTTTTTGATTTCGCTAATTTTATGTTTATAATGACATAACAGATTTGCCATAAGAGCGTGACATTCTGAAAGTATCACGCCAGATGCATGTGACAGCCAGGCACAGAGTAGGACTGATTTTCAGCTTGGGAGTTTTAGGGTCAAGACCAGCCCATTTTGTATGACATTTCCAGTCTGGTCTGGTTTCTGTCTAACAGCCATTGTTTAAAAAAACTTCCAGTTACTGGCAATAGCAAGCGATTAATTGCGGCACCTCCAGAGCCACGCACTGCGCTCAACCCGCTCTAAATGACATGCAATCACACTGACGCATGTGCTGCATATTTGTGTGTTTCTCTGTGTAGAGCAGTCATGGTCTATTGTCTGTGTGTATGGGGAGGGAGGGAGGGAGAGAGAGAGAGAGAGAGAGAGAGAGAGAGGGAGAGAGAGAGAGAGAGAGAGATGGTTGCCATTTTGAATTTCAAACTTGTAAAATTTTGTTTCCGACTGCCTAACTTCTTAACTTGTCAAATAATTTGGTTGATCAGCACTACAGCTAAACTCCCAAGTGGCCACTCCGAGCCCGGTCCCACCCACAGAGCATCAGCTTGTTATGTTACATGCTATGTGTGTTTCCTTGCAGCTGCAAGCCCCACAGACTCACGGGCTCTCCTACGACACAGTGGATAAGTGGGAGATCGACCGCAAGATGATCAAACTCATAAGGAAGCTGGGAAATGGTCAGTATGGTGATGTCCATGAAGGTCTCTGGAACAACACCACCCCTGTGGCAGTCAAAACCCCCAAACCAGGTAGACGTTCTTGATATCTGTGGCTCTCTACCAGTTCGGTTTATTGACTGCCTTTGATTTAACTCCAGTACTAGAAATTCAAAGTGATATGGTGCTCACACTGTCAGAACAAAAGTATCAATTTGTAGCTTTAAACGTACCATTACTTGTCACTGGGGCTGTACCCTCAATTGTACCCTAGCTGTCAGTAAATGTACCTTTTTAAGGCACAGAAATGGACTCTGAGAAACCTTTTTGTATCATTCAGGGTACATTATTGTTGTTGGTACCTTGGGGTACAAATCTGTACCAGGGATGAACCATTTTTTTGAACAGTGTAAAGAATTATCTTCATATAAGCCAATTACACGTTTGTGTTAGACATGGGTGTGTGTACTTTTTAATTTGCATTTACCAGCCATTTCTCCCATTGATGTAGGTACTATGGATCCCAAGGACTTCCTCAGAGAGGCCGCCATAATGAAGAAACTGCGGCATCCCAAACTGATCCAGCTCTATGCCGTCTGTACGCTGGAGGAGCCTATTTACATCATCACTGAGCTGATGAAGAACGGGAGCCTGCTGGAGTATTTACGGAGTAAGAGCCCACTGCAGTCGGTCACACCCTCTTCGCACTTCCATTTGAAATGTTGTCATTTCCTCTTGGCTGTAAAGGGAATATGTCTGGTTCTGAGATGGGAGGCACCCTGAATGGAATGTTGGTGTATTGCAAAACCCAGGATTACACAGTGCAGGCAATTTTGCTTTTCATCGTGGGAGGAGCACACAATAGAAAGCCATGTGTAAACAGGGATGACGTGAGAATCCAATACACAGATGGATCTGTGAGTCAAACACATAAGCTTTGGTAATCAGGATGTCAGTAGCTGCAGAGATGGGGCCCTTTGATGTACCAACTCAGACCAATCTAATTATATTCCAAATTTTTTAGGGCCCTCGTCCTAACTGTTCTGACCTAGTTGCCCATACCCCTCACCCACAGAGCCACACTCACCTTGATACCTTTTTAAAATTCTTTTATTATTTTTAAACCCCTGGTGACATAAATATTGTTTTTTTAGTCTACTGGGTAGATCCATACTGTATATCAGAGAAACTCATACCGGTCCAGCTTGTGTTGAGTGTCCTGGCCTGAAAGCTGATGTTCCGGTGTGAGAGAGACAGGTTGGCATTCCTGTCATTCCAGTCATGCTGTACTGGAGCAGCTGAGTCATGCTTTCGTACATGTTTATTTAGGCTGGAGAAAAGCGGCCAGGTCTCCTTCCGTTTAGCTTGGCGTTGTGGCTAACGCAAACATATTTATTAAGCAGTCATAGTATGATCCCTTAACTCTCCATCTTAACTTGCCATTCTACATGCTATTAGCCAAGATATCCAGCAAGTCTTTTGATTTGTATAAGGCAAATATTTAGGCCTCCCAGGGTTTTTGAACGTGGGCTCCTTTTATGACGCCGATAGTTAACATCAGATGTGGAAAACTCAGGTTCAGAAAGATCAAGACCAATCAGTTGAGCACAGAGCCACATTCACAGAGTACTCAGCTGGTTGGTTGAAACAAAATATTGGATTTCTGTATCTCTACTTTCTGAATCCAAACTTTCCACCTCTAGTTAACATCTGTTATGACATTCTATTCTGACATCTACTTTCTAGAACGGTCTCTCTGAATGATTCAGGTTATGGAAGAAAGACTAGTGCATCAGAATAATAATTTCATTTAAACATATGAGGTCAGATTTTATTTTCCTGTGCTTACAACTGTCATGGTAACACGGAATTGAAAATGAAACTGGATATCACAATGGAAGCATTAATCAAGAAACATGAGTTCAGATATCAAATTATGATACCTCAAATGTGAGTTGATACCTTATTGTAATTTACAACAAATCAGAAAGTCTTTTTTTTTTTAAAGTTATGTGCACAATAGGAGGCCATAAAACCTGCAGAACATTTTAGGAAAATGTGCTGGTTATTCCGTGGGTGATATACTGCCTGAAAATGTGAAACATTTGATCATTTAATGAGAAAAGTAGGATAGGAAACAGGACAATTTCACACTGATGTACTATTAAAAACCCATTTATTATATAAAATGTCAGTTGTTTTATGAATCTGTCTTGAACTATTTTGTGTAGTTTTGGTGTAATATGTGTATTTTTACTTTGCTTCTATAGATGACCAAGGGGATAAAATTACCCTTTCAGACCAGATTGAAATGGCTGCACAGGTGACTTCTGGGATGGCCTATCTTGAGCAACAGAACTACATCCACAGAGATTTGGCAGCCAGGAATGTACTGGTGGGAGAGAATAACATCTGCAAGGTGGCTGACTTCGGCCTGACCAGAGTCTTCCTGGTGAGTTTTGCAACGATTTTGATAGCTAGCTTGCAGATTATAAATAACTTGCTATAGAGACATTTGAACAGGGGCTGCACAATGTATCATTTCAGCATTGTCATCATTATTGTCACAATAATCACATTGCAGGAGGTTCGATATCAAACATCATGCTATAACTTTTTTCCTGCTCAATACAAAAAAAACTTGCACAGTTCTCATTTTCCATGACTAACTCTGAGAAGTCTAATATAATTTACTCCGTTTAAGGTTTTTTGGGTACATGGGCTTTGTTGTTAGTGAGTGACAAGCAGGCTCTGCATTAGGGCTAAGCTTGCATAATATTAATATCATCTTCATATGTCGTGCTGCTCCTCTGGGAGGAGCCCCGGGGAGGACCCAGGACACGCTGGAGAGGCTATGTCTCTCGGCTGGCCTGGGAGCACCTCGGGATTACCGCTGCTAATTTTGCGTGAGCACTGTTTAAATCACTCTTTGGGAGGAGAAACGCGAAGACGGGGACTCGAAAACTATTTAGCTTCTGCTGGAAATATTCTGTATGGAAATATTTTAGATTCTACAGAGATGATATTGAGCAAAAACAAGTGATTTGTCAGCCAGTTTTTGGCAACACTGCCACATTATTTGACAGACTCCGTTGGTAGATTAGTTCTATTTGGCTATAGTTTAGTTTGGGTAAATTTTGAACTGCTTTTTGCTTTATACGTATTGAAGTAATTATTGACAAAAAATTACAGTGCAGTTGTTTTTTTTTCCAGTGTCAAGTAGCCCTAATTTGAACCCCATAGCTCAGTAATGGCAGTGAAACTGAGGTCAGACAAAGTCACCCTGCTGCTTTTTTGTTGTCCAGCGTCCGTCTCTGTTCAGTACCAAGGTTCAGTTTTTACCTTGTCTTAGTGGCAAGAATCCATTCATTAGCTAAGTAGCTACTAGTTTCAATGCCTGATTTAGTAAGAGGGTCTTCTGTAACAGGAACAGTGAGTCATGTAGGATTATGAGATATTAAAATCAGGATCTTTCTGTAAATTGCATGTTTCTCGTTAGGCTTTGCACTAAAGCACGAGCTACAAAGATTGCAGGATGAGCAGCAGCAATTAATTGAGCTGCTTTTTAAAACCTATTCAGGCAAATGCTAATAATATGTGTGTTTCTGTTTTTCTGGGTGCACAGAATGATAATGATTACGAAGCAAATGAGAACTGCAAGTTCCCGATCAAATGGACGGCGCCTGAAGTAATCCATTTCAAAAAGTGCAGCATTAAATCTGATGTATGGTCCTTTGGAATCCTTCTGCATGAAATCATGACCTTTGGGCAGATTCCCTATCCGGGTAAGAGCACTTGCAGTATTTCCCAGCGATTCCTTATTCTGACCACATCATTGCTATTTTGAGAGATTTAAATGATACATTTCCTCGAGATGGGCTGCCGGCCATTAGGCTGCTCTGTGCTTCGCAGCTCAGGCGGTGAATGAGCATAGCGGTTAGTTTCTGAGGAGGGATGACTGCGGAAATCATGAGTGCTAGAGGCTGAATAATAATCAGAGGTTCAATGAGTGTCATTTTCAAAGTGGAAATTGCAGGGAAAGAGGTTACAGTTTATGCAACTTGCTGCCGTTGTACATGTTAGAACTAGATTGCGATACAGGCTTGAAGTGAAGCCGGCGCCTGACGGAGACCGAACCCGACCTAGCCTGTATCCCAGCCGACGGAGACCGAACCCGACCTAGCCTGTATCCCAGCCGACGGAGACCGAACCCGACCCAGTCTGAATAGTATTAGAAAATGTAAAACTGCAAAACCTGAGCCAAACCCGAAATTGTGGAAATATTAGTCACATGCATACGGAGACATTTGCAAGATTTTGCCGTATTTCTTCCATTGCTAGTCGTTTGCTTGCTTGGTGGCTGGTAGACGTGGGGGGTTGGGGGGGGGGGAATTGGTATGGAATACGCAAACCAGCAAAGGACCCAGCAACTGCAAAAATCACTCATAGAAAGCTAACCCAAATCTGACCCGGGTTCAAAGTTAAACATAAGAATCTGATCCGTGCCCGGCCCGAAATCCGATACTTTCAGCCCGTCAGTCGCGGACAGGTCGCAGATCTCTAGTTAGTACCTTTGGAACTAACGTTATGCTCTTGTGATCCCAAATCAGAAATGACCAACATGGAGGTGGTGCGGATGCTCTCCAAAGGTTACAGAATGTCCTGTCCGGCCTTGTGTCCAGACGCCCTGTATAATATCATGAAGGGCTGCTGGAAGGACGAGGCATGTGACAGGCCCACCTTCGAGACGCTGCTGTGGGAACTGGAGGGCTTTTTTGATATGGACCCAACATCTTATTCTTAAATCTGTGGAAGAAGCAAGTCAGCAATGGAAACGAATGCTACTATGGGTATCAACCAACAACAATACAATAACAATAATTACACAAGTTGACTTCAAATGTTTAGGGATGTGATATCCAGGTTATTGTCCTGCATTTGTTTCCCAGAGAATTTAATATGTAAACTAATTTTTTCAAGAATATATTTTTTTTTCCCAAATTTTCTGTTCATTAAAAATATTCAAAATCTCTTATTTAATTACATTTGAATAGTGGTGCATGTTGATTGTTGAATGATGTATAGTGGATTTATTGGTTACTAACATTGTACTGTGAATTTATTTTTTGTTTCTTTTTAAATTTCTTTGCTGTAATGCTTATACCTGTAATTGTAGTCTCGTGGTTCTCTTTTTTTAAATATGTAAAATTATGATATATACCAAGAACTTCTTGTGTTTTTGTTTGTGCACAACATTCCTGTGAATGTACTGCCTTCGCACTCAGAAAATGCTGAAAAAAATACCCAGCGTATGCAGTTCGCCACATTAACCACCTGATGGCGCCAGCACATTCCCTGACAGAAACTGGCTGACCGAAACGACGAGCCTGCCGCTACAAAGCATGAAGCGGAAACTGCATGGGTTACACCTGCTCTTCCGCATGTTGTCACAGCTGCAGGCTCTGCCAACATACAGCAAATTGAAGGCACACAGCTCTAATTTAACTGTTATAAAACTTGCAGTAGATTTGTTCATACACATTTTTAAAACTCATTGGTACAGGACATACATAACGTATTACATTTTATGTTGTACAGACATGGAGAGGAAGGGAATTTTCACTTAAAAAATCCCCCATGTAACAGCTAAACTCTGGGCTTGTCCCGCTGCTTCCTAGAGCCCAAGCCTGCTCTGTATATCCATCTGGCTTAATGAACTCTACCAATCAAAGGCTTACTGTAAATCCCCAACATTCCCTTGGCTTTTCCATCGGCTTCAAAATAATATCCATCAAGTATTTCCTACATGCCATTTATGCACTGCATTATAATGAATGACTACTACACTGTCTGCTCTCCTAGGCAAGTGGACTATGGTTTATTTACTTTGTGCCACAAAGCAACAGGAATACAATTTTCCATCCATCCATCCATACTCACTTGCCCTGAGCATTGTTGGGGACTCATACCCTAGGTCCCAGAAATGGGGGGGAGGGGGGGGAGTATTAACCAAATACATTTTTAATATATTATTGTAAATATTAAATACATTTCTGTGAAAGTTTCCATCTCCTTTAATTATTCATAATTATTATTTTTTAATATATGTCCTAGACCAGGGGTGGGCAATCTTATCCGCAAAGGGCCTGTGTGTGTGCGGGTTTTCACTGCAACTCCCTAATCAGTTTACTAATTAGAGGATTGTTTGGCTGAAGAGTCTTCACACCTGGGTTTGAACAGCTGACCTAAAGGTTACCCCAAAAACCTGCATACGCACCGGCCCTTTGCGGAAAAGATTACCCACCCCTGTCCTAGACAATAATAAATGTCATGTAAGGAAAAAAGTTATTTCATTGTTCTCTTTCCTTTAGAACTAGCGGCGATGAAGAGCCCCTTCGGTAAGACATGAACCGTGCGTTCCTGTTATCCCGACATAACAGCGAGCTGCGATGTTACCCACCTCGCGCTCTTCCCATCAGTTTGCCAAATAATCCAGTCTGCCAAAACAGTATTACGTCACCAGAAGGCACGTGTTCCACCTGGAGGACGAGACCCGGTATCCATCCATACTGGAAATTTTTTAAATTTTGTGTCGCTCATCAGCGCTGCCGCCGCTGTCGCACAGCAGTGACCTTCCGCCTTCAGTGTGCTCCGTCCATTCTCAGGTTTGCAGTGTACTTGCTATCTAGGCTACTAGCCGCTAAAAGAATTTGCACTTTTTGGGAAACATTTTCTTGTATTTGTGACTTAAGTGATACTGTAATCAATGAACAAGGCGAACATGCTAAGAATGCGCAAAACCAAGTGCAAATGCTCAAAAAATAGATTTAAAGATGAACATGAAAATTATAAATAAATTTGCTAAATTATAAATAAATACAAACGCATTGGCAATGACATGTGAATTTGGTCGCTGCCTGTTTCAAAGACGATGTGAAAGGATCTGGCTCATTAATGTCAACAGCTATAATGTGTATATAATGCCGCAGTAATGTGGAGGGAAGAGCAAATTCAGATATGTACCGTTAGCTTAATGATTATTCCAAGTCCAAAGCAGTAAGTCTTTACCAAGACAAAAGGGAAAATATCTAAATGCATCTTTTTGGTAATGTCCTGTATCTGTTTAATATGCATTAAATGGACAGAAATGGCATATTAAACGTTCATTGGCATATCGACATAGAGTTCTGTGTGCATGTATGCACAGGCTGTGGGGTGTGATTATTATGGGGGGGCTGTAAGAGTCTCTGGAGGGTAATTTGAGGTGCGTGTGTATATGAGATACTCGGTATACCCTAACGAAGATTTTACCGGAGACAGCAGGGAGCTAAACGTTCTGCGGACGTTTGTGTGCCGATGTTTATGTGCCAAAGGGGTAGATCCAGTTAAACCAGATCAGACAGGTGTTGTTAGTGCATGAGGGGCAGCAGGGGGACGCCGGCCGCCTCAGTCCCACTCGCTATATGATTTATGTTCATCCGTTTGTGCTTTGAATAGCATGAGGATGACCCTCCACCACTGAGACCAGCTGTCCGCTCCCATTAAAATGTGTATTTTTCCCCATTTACAAGACTAGTTTACATTGACCAAAAATATGTGCTTTTGTGCGTTCCTACAGGAAAACTGGGAATATGAACACTCATGTATTATAGCCTGACAGGGGCTGATTGATCTCATGAAAGACACCAAGTGGATGAGATAATTTTAGGGGTGATTATTAAAACCAGCCGCCCATCTTGTTTTTTTTTGCAGGATATTTACATGTAGCAGCTGATTTTTTTATTTGTAAAAATGAACATCTGCATGTTTTTTGTTGAGTTAATTCTATCCCTGGACTTTGGTGGCCGGGCAGAATTACATCCGGCGTTACAAATAAGAATTTCCTGTCTGACTGTTCATCACAAATACTTCATGTTGTCCCCCTGGCTTCGTAGGTAAATAATATATTAAAAGAGGATTAATTGAGTAAACAGGACAAGTGGGTATCAAAGATAGACAGGTGGGTTCAATATTGCACCATGCAAAAATAGCTAATAATACAGAATTTTAAAAACTTGCAATTCTATTGTTTGTTTTAAATGGAGAATTATTACATTTATTACTTTTGTCTTTATAAAGTCATTATAAAGGCTTGTCCCCATTATTCCTCTGCCTGACATCAAAGGTATCTTTATAAAATTCCTTAATTACTTCCTGCATTGAAGTATAATTTACCCAAACCCTAAATGTGCCATATTCAGCATCTGAAAGGCAGACCAGCCAGATTGTCTGTTGCAGATCATTAATTCACAGACTGATTCTCTTTCAGCAAGCAGCATCTTAGCAATCGCGTTTCAGCCATTTTCCTGCATTCCCTAAGTGAGTCGCCGTCTTACCTGTGCATGAGCACTGTGTATCCAAGGTACAGGCTCAGTAGATGCCATTACACCTACTCTGTAATATTAAGTAATAAGTATGTTCCACAACCTAGACTAGTGTAATTATATTATACATATTAATTACACAGTGTATTGCTTTTGGTTCTTTATGTTTTTTTAAACAATAAACAAACAACAACAACAAAAAACCCACGAAGGAATTACAGCATTATTATTATAGTTGTTGTTGTCGAAGTTGTTGATGTTGTTAGAGTAGAAAAATGAGGACGCCTCCATGTGTCAAACACCCAGTTATTAATGCCTTCCAAAGAAACAATGCTGAAAAATATGTGGCAAAACTGTAGGTGAATGGTTTTATGCTGCTGGTGTGAACCAGGGGAGATAAACGTGGTAACTTGACCAATCATGCAACACGCTTTTTTGCCCGGTGGTAAATGTAATCTCAGAATGACCTCGGCGGTCGATATCTAATCTGATACACGGTCTTGCAGATATGCATTGTTTAGGGACCTCAGAGTTCTTGGGCTCCAGTATTTTTTCACAAGGAATTTAACAGGGAACATTAAATAAAGCATCGGTCTGATAACTGAAAATAACACGTAGCATTGCAGATTTATTGGACACGAATGTCCATTTAAGAAATAAGGATAATTTCATATATGAGTCAAGAGGGCCAGTCTCAGTGGCTGTTCTATTGATGTATAACTATGCGATAGAACTGAAATATCACACCCCCAGCCAGCAATACCGGCAGTATTCTTCTCCAGGACTTAATTTGAGTGTTTTTTTACTGTATGGACAATGAATGCCGTATAATACACTATACCCTAGTTCATGACTTTAAAATATCACTCTTTGAGTGAATGTGTTTGCCTTGGAGCACAGTTGGATTGTAATTATATTATTGGTAAGGCAGCCGGGGCAGGTCAAGTACGGGAATGGAAGGCCAGGGAAGATAATAGATGAATTGCACTGTGACTGGCCACCTCAACTCCACGATCACTAATGGAAGCACGTAGTATGAGACCGACAGGCCAGGAGACCATCAGGACTTAGTGTCTCCAGCCCAGATCACTTGCAGAACGAAATGGGCATTAAATGTTTGGTCACTGTGGCCATTTCTTAACAGCCTTGGGCAAGCGGCTCGCGGTGACGGCTTGGCATCCTGGGGTGACGCCCACTGCACCGAAACCTGGGCCAGCGCTGCACTCTGGTCCACCTTGTATCCGAGGGCTGTCACTGAAGCACCTGGAAGGACCTCTGGACTGATCAAAGAGAGGAGCGAAGGCGGATCTCTATCCTGCATCTTTCTGAGGACTGCAGGTGGCTCAGGAGTCGTCCTTAAAACCCAGTTGCATATGTGACCCATTTAGAGAAATCTTTCATCCAGGCTTTAACTCAGTGTCCATATTACATCACCACAGTCTCCTGTGTCATGTGGATTATATTTTTTTCAAATCCCCAACAAAGTGATACATGATTCTTCACTTATACTGGTGCCTACTGTAATATACTTTTCAGCAGTTTTGCAGCTTATTGTTTATTAAAAAGTGACACCATGTAGCTCATCCAGCAACATATTCAAATATAAATATATCTGATGACGTGAGAGTAACTCATTAGTAAGAGAGGATGGCTCTTTGTCACTTTTTCAAACATCCATCAGTCAAACTTTTTTGCAGTAAATAACAAGAGGACAATGGCCCGGAGTTCTTAGAGTACAAGCAAAGCTGCATTTGTATTTCTAAACCCATCTTTCAGCTAAACAATGTTATTATATGCCAACTATAGAACACATACTTTCTTTGGTTTCACAGTATTATAAGCATCTTAAATACTATTTTAAGAT